TTGAACGGAATTTCTAGTTTTAGGTTTTTGAGGACTCTCCACATTGATTTCCAGAGTGGTTGTGCTAGGTTACATCTCTACCACCAGTGTAGAAGGTTTGGTCTCACCACCACGCCCTCCCCGCATCCTCGCCAGCATCTGTCACTTGATTTCTTGGTGATAGCCTTCTCCGTAGTAAGTCAACTCGGGACAGACTCCGACATGCTGAGACCCTTGAGCGCCCTCTGCAGGCAACTAGTCAAAATGCATGTGCAAATGGACCTCTGAAGTGGAGTCCCACAAAGATGGCGCCCTAGCAGAGGAAAATCCCATGCACCGGTGAATGCCAGCCCCAAGTCCACACGCACGCACACACGCGCACACACACACATGCACACAGCTGACCACCGACACCTCCAGCCTCAAGTAAACACACAGGCACGCAGACCAACTTAGAGGGAAAAACCCATACCTGCAGACTCCACAGCAGAGCCAGCGGGCATTCCCAGCAAGACAGTGCTGAGGAACGGTCAGGAGCTGAGCGCAGGTCAAAGTGCAGCCCTCCAGTGAAGGGAGAAAGATGGCTCAACCTGGGGAACCCGTCAGAGTGGACGGCCGACCCGTCATCATTAAGAGGATGCACTCAGAGCCCTGGAAGGCCGGTCAGTGGTGGGTCGCGGGAAGTCACGAGCAAAGTGTTGACGCCCTCAGAGATCTCAACCACCAAGCAGCCCTGAATCCAGGCCACAGAGACTTTCATTTCATTCCCTGGGTTATACTGAGTGTCAGCCACACACACACACAGGGAGCAAGTAGGGGACAAGACAGATACACTCACCGGGTCAGTGGTCCCCTTCTTAATCGAAAGGACAGAGAAACAGTCCCCAAATTACCTTAGGAAGTTCACTAAGGGCAGGGCCTGGTGTGGGAAGAAAAGGTGGCTCCAACCAACCCATCCGTTCCCGAGCAGGAAGTTATACTGAGAACAACACAGGGAAACACGACTTAGTTCCCAGGCTAGCCCACCATCGTCTGCTTAACCCATAAAGAGGTGAACTATGGAGAATCAACAAAGAAGTGCAAATGCCTCATATACGGAAAGCCAGTTTTCATACTGAGACTAGTGCTCCAGCCTGGAGGTTGTAGTCTTCAGTGATAAAACTTGTGTTAATCAGCTGGGCCAGGGCTGTAGCTCAGTGGGACAGCACTTGCTGCACCTGTACAAGGCCCTGGGTGCCATCCCCAGCACCACAAAAAAAAGTCTTTATCAGTCTGCTCTGATTGCCGTGACAAAAAGCCATGGGCTAAACGGCTTAACAACAACACAAAGTCTTTTCTGACAGTTCAGAGACTGAGGAGTCCAAGATGAAAGTGTTGGTCAGGTTGCCTTGTTGTAGTTTAGATCTAAAATGCCCGCCCCCCCGCCCCCAGAGGCGCATCTGTTCAGAGCTTTCAAAAGATAACAGGATCGGGGCTGGGGATTTAGCTCCGCTGCACAGCGTCTGCCTGGCAAGCGCAAGGTCGCGAGTTCGATTCTCGGTACCGGAAAAAAAAAAACAAAAAAAAAAACATAACGGGATCATGGTGATGCTATTGGTGGATCAGCCTATGGGTGACTTCCTAGCCCAGTGTGCTGTTCAGAGATGGAGCCTAGTCAGAGCAGGTGGGTCATGCTGGGCGTGCATTTTGGAGGACATATCTCTTTCCCTGGGTCTTCCCTTGCTCTCTGCTTCCTGCCTGCCGCAGGTCAAGCAACTTTCCTCTGCCAGGCCCTTCTGCCCTCTTGTCCCTGCCTGGGAGCCAGCCAAGCATGGGCTGAGACCGTGAGCCAAAATAAATTCTTGCCCCTTTAAGCTGCGACGGGTGTCAGGTATTTTGTCCCAGCAGTGGAAGAGTGCCTGATACCGTCTGGGGAAACAATCTGGGTTTGATTCTGTGACTTGTTCCAGACAATGAGGCACTTAGCAGCCGAGGCGTAAAAGCCTCCCTTTGAGGCTTCTCTGCTTTTTGTAGCAGCTCTACAGCCACCAGGCAAATGAACGCAGGATGGCCTGCCGGAGAAACTATGTGGGGAATGAAGACACCCCCAGTCAGCTGCCAGGCAGGTGAGTGAAGCCATTCAGGATCCTCCTGCCCCGGCCAGCCCAAAAACTAACCACAGCACATGAGCAAGCCTGAGAGAGACCAACAACTGAAGAACCACCCTGCTGAGCCCACCCCAGCTTGCCAACCCACAGACTGGAGCGTTAGTGACTGCTGTTCCAAGCTGTTATGTGTTAGGGTAGTTTGTTACACAGCAGAAGCTAAGCAATCAACTCTCAAACAAATGCTCTTTGGAAAGAAATACGCAGCCTCACCAAGGAGCAGCCACTAATTCCCAAGTAAACACCATTCAGGCAAAGGCACCAGCACAGTCACTACAGAGAGACGCTTCTAGATTTATCATGGGGTTACATCTCCATCACTCTGGCGCAAATTGAAAATATCCTAAGTCAGAATGCATGTAGAGCCGGGTGCGGTGGTATAAACCCAGCTACTCAGAAGACTGAGACAGGAGCAGCACAAGTTTGGGACAGCCTGGGCAATTTACCAAGACCCTGTCTCAAAACAAAAATATAAAAAGGGTTGTGGGTGTTGCCCAGTGCTAAGGTGCTTGCTTAGCAGCCCTGATTCCCATCCCAGTAACACACACACACACACACACACACACACACACACTATTTAGGGCTGGGGATGTAGCTCAGTGGTAGAGATTTGCCTAGCATACACAAGGCCCTGGGTTTGATCCCTAGCACCACACACACACACACACACACACACACACGCATTCAATACACCTACCCTATAGAACACCACAGCTTTGCCTAGCCTACCATAAATGTGCTCAAAATACTCACATGAATCTAACGATGGATATCAAGAGAGTTTCATACTGTGCATAACTGTCCCTGGAAAAGACAAAAAACTCAAAGTACAGTCTCTACTAAATGCCCATGGCTTTTGCACGGTGGTAAATTTGAAAACTCATTAAGTCCCAAAGGGACAAGCCACAAATTCAACATTACTCACCAGAGAACCACTAGGTGGCAGGAGTTCTTTAGCTGGGAAGTCCACTTAGGCTACAGTCTGAGCATTCAGACTGTCTCCACCCAAGGTCAGGAAGGAGCAGGAGGGGAGAAGGGAGGGAAAAGATGAGGAGGGAGAGCAGAGGGTGAGCCGGCATGGGGTGCATCGCACGAAGCTACAGCCCAATTCTTTTCTGTATCTTTTTATTTTGAGACAGGGTCTCACTAAGTCGGCACAAGAGACTACATCTCTTGCCCGAATGGTGCAGTCAGAACTAAGTCGATCGCCCTGTTGTTCTGACACCAGCTTGGTCTCTGGTTATCTGTGTGACCCCGAGCAAAGGCTTGTGCATTTGTGTCTGCGTTTTCGCGTGTGTAAAAGGGTAAAACCAAACCCAGCCCGAAGTTCTCACCTCAGAATGGCCCCACAGAGGAGCTCCGGGAGTGAGTGGGGCCAGGTACCTGTCTGCAGAACCCTCGGGGAAATATTCCAGGTGAGAGGTTGGGGCTTTTTTAGACTTGACTGGATTCCC